TACTTATTTCAATTATCTTCTAGCATTCGAAAACTGTGTATTCATACCTCAACCTGCTGAGGATAATCTTCAAAATCATTATCGAAATTAACTTCATTTCCATCCAAATAATGTTTCGTTTCTTCGTTATCATTTGTATTTCGACAAAAAAAAGCAAAAAATATTGTCAGACATAAAATCTATAATCAGAATATATTAGATAATCGGATTATACAAAACAAAAAAAAATAAATATAATACTTTAACTGGTTGAGTAAGCAAAATTGACGAGAAAAATCCACTTAAAACTGATGTTAACCATTGCTTTGTTTTCAGATCACCAAATTCAATTCCACGAGCTATTATAAATAGAATAGACATACCTACCAATATTATACAAAGACCATATGCAATAAATAAACACCACCATGGAAATGTAAGTTTTTCTGATTTCTTTTTTCTTTCATTTTCACTAAAGAAAACAAAAAGATTTGAAAAGAATAATTTTTATTTACAATTTCGCAAACATTTTCAAATGTGATTTCATTTTATATAAAGTTTGATGTAATGGTGATATTTGTTGTTGACGACTTCGTATACGTCGAAAGAATTGAACGAGTAAAAGGCTCGGAACTATTGATAACAATTCAACGATCATACCAATTAAAATCTTAAACATATATTGAAATAGAGAAGATAAATATATCAAAATATACCTGTTGAGAAGCTATATGAAGAGGACCAATAGATAAACTATTCGTGTTATTTGTGGATTTAGCTTGATTTGATAAATCATAATACATTATATTCAAAAACATTGAAAGAAATAATAAGACAAAACAACACGTACATCGTTGAATACGTGTAAATTTATTTGATGATGGACGAGAAAATATTGAAAACCAAAGATGACTGTCTGATACATTGTGATATGCTTTTTTTGATAATATATAAGAAAATTGATTTTTTTCTATTTCATTAGCGATTGGTAAAAGGCGTTCAATCTATTTGAAGAAAAGGATGCATCGTGATAAGACTTATGAAAATAATGGGTGGAACATAAATAATGATGGTCTCAGTATTATGAGTGTAACTTAAGCAGGTAAAGTTAGTATCATATTCGAGTTTTTCGCGTCTAGATTCGTTTTACAACTTGAGTTGATTCTCTAGTTATTCGAGTTAGATGCACAATTATTCGTAAAATAACTCGACTATGGTGCTAACTTTACCTATGTGTATAATTTTTTCCTTTTCGATCGTTAATTTTTCTTACTTTTCCATCATCTTTTTCTACTGCTAACCATCGTTGACAAATAAAATAATATTTTTCCATTGTTTGTAAATCACGAACTATTAAATATTTGAGAAACCATGATGATGATGAACCTCCTCCTGTGTTATCATGCCAAATATGAATATAATTCAACAATCCCAATGATCTAAAGATCGTTTCTTCTAATATAAAAATATTTAGAATATAATCTTACTTTGGAACAGTCATAATAAATGCATCAATTCCACCACGTTGAAATATCTGTCGATGTGGATCAGCAAATGTACGAATATGTGTTGTATCTGAATCACCGGACAATACAAAATGAACCTATTTTTAATATAATTCGAAAACCCATGTATTCATATATCTTTGAAATCTTACTTTCGATTTTGTTCCAGCATCTTTTCTTCGACTAGTAAAAACAATAATTTGATAAAAATATTGATCTGATTTATGATTATCGAGTAATGATGTTACTCCTAATTTTTCAAGATCTCTTTTGTCTTTCAAACGTGCATAAACCAACAAAATCAAATAAATAACTGAGACACAAATAACAGTTAAATAAATGGTTTTATTTCGAAGAAAATCAGCATTAGCAAAAACATAATTCCAATTCACTGGTTCAGGTAAAACACGAAAACCACTTGCAAATGTTGTTAAATGAGTTGAAAAGCATTGAGTTTCATAATGATTTGTTAAAGGACCAACTATTAATCCATCAGATTTCCATTGATTATTTTGATCAAGATAATAACAACCTGATGTATAAATACGAAGTTCATAATTTGATGTAAAATTAAATTTAAAATCTGTTGTTGGAGGATTTACAGTTGAAGAATTTATACAAAAATCTCTAAATTCTGTTGAATTTAATTCTCTTAAACCAAATATAATTGATTGATGACCAAATGTTTGTTGATTATTAATAAAATATGTGTACATACTTTCATTTGTTAAATTGAAAGGGCAAAATACAGTCCATCCATCAATTTGATTTATTGAAGTATTTAATTGAGGTATTTGATCAAATTTATAAATAAATAAATAAGAAATATTTGTTTCCAATGGATGAATTCCAATATGAGCTGAAATCGGAAGTGTGTTCGTAATATTAATATAATGAAAAGAAAATAATTGATTATGAAATGTAGAATTTATGGATGTAACATTTTGAATAATCATTAATGGAATTATGAGATTTAGATCATGAGGAATAATTATTTCAATCGGATGAGTTTCATTTGTTTTGATTGTAACTACATTTCCATTACGATCAACAACTGAAAGTGATATTGATGTTGAAACATTTGTATTTGCTAGCTGAGATTTTGAACTACCATATACAGCAAGTGGTTCCATTCTTGACTGTAAACATAACAATTAAATTAATTAATTCAAAAGAAAAAAACTCACTCTAAGCATCACTGTTGAATTGTTACTTATACTCGAATTAAAATGTTCCGGAATATTAATTTGGGCATTTCCAACTTGTTGAATTTGTTTGTTTGAAAGAGTTTCTATTGATATTGTTTCTAACGACATAAATGTTGATGGTGTATTTATTGTTAAATTTTGACCGATATTAATATGAATATTCAATGTAGACGTCAATAAGGATATAATTTCATTCGTTTGATTACTAATTGTATTTGCTAGTTGTTGTTGATAGTAAGCATTTCGATCTTTTTCAATTGTTTCCCATGAAAAATCATTTCCATCAGCAAATAGATCTATAACATTTCAAACATAAATCATCATGAAATCAAAGATAAACTTACTTGGATTAGACCATTCTGATTCAATATCTGTATCATAATCTGTCGGAAATGCTGTTGCACGAGATGAATCTAAATCCAAAACAAGTATTCGTTCTTGTAATGGTCCATTAACAGCCTTAATCAAAAAACGAATTCATTTTTATTATTCTAAGAAATATCTTACACTTAGAATATTAGTAGCGCATTGAGTAAGTTGAGTTGTGATTATTTGAACATCTTCATATGAAATTTGTGTTGCCATCGAACGTAAAGCAAGGGATAATTGATAACATTTATTCGATACAAGCATCTAATTATTTAAATTTTTACTTGTTTAAAAATAACTAAAATGTCAAATCTTACTAAAACTGTTCGTGTCAACTGATTTGTTGATTCAGTAAATTGCGCTAAGGATAATGATTGTAATTTAAGACTGTTGGCATCAAAAACTTGAGGATCAACCATATATTTTATAAGTTGATCGCGTACATTTGCAAGAGAATTCAACTCTTTCTTGTATGCGATCAAAGCCGAACCATTCAATGAAGTAAAATTCTATATGTAAAAATAATAACAGCATGAAAAATATCTCAAATAAAATTACCCCTTGTGAATATTGACTTTCTAAGGACGATATAGATATACTTGTAGCTGGAATACCATCTGGAAAGAAAAGATCATCTATATAATATAATAATTCTAATTATTTACTTAAAACAGCGTTGTCTATGCTTTCATTATTCATTTTATTAAACTGTTGTGATACGGAAACAATCACTTGTCCAACTAAATTTTGATTTCCACCGGCGAGAATGCGCATAAATGAATTAGTCGTTGAATTTTGTATATTATTAATTAAATCATTAATTGTATCAAAATCTGTTGTGACACTAATAGATGACATATTGAATTGTGCGACACAATCAAGAGTATCACGAATATAAATCATCATATGAAGTAATCCAGCTGGCAAATGCACTTGAAAAGTAGGTACTTGTGAAAATGCAATCATCATTCGTTCTGTTTGATCTGTTGTCCAAACTAATCGAAAAAAAATATTATTTAATAGTTCGCATATTTTATGAAGAGGATAGGTGTGGGTGGGTGTGGATGTTCCTGTCTTTAACTCAAAAGCAATTGGTTAGTTCAAGGAATTTTCTTTTTTAAATGAAATTGACATACTATAAAGTGAATAATCTTTAATGCCATCTTCATCAAACCAATCTGGACATGAAATAGTGAATAAACTACTTGTTGTACCATTGTGAGGATTGGTGGAACATGAACCATTGAATGGTGGTTGATTAATGACAAAATTTAATGAACTTGAACTTGTTTCTGATACAAATCTATAAACAACTTCAAATCGCCAAAGATCTAATTGAGAATTCGATAAAAATAATTGGTTTATTGCAGTGAAATTTGTTGTATTTGCCCCTAAAAAGAACAATAGAATCTTTAATTGATAAGAAAAGGATTGTTACCAAAAAACCAAATATTTTGATAAAAAGTTGTTTGATTGAATAAAGTCCATTGAGTGACATTGGAAGATGAATTTGATGCTCCATAATAAATATTCCAAGTTATATTTTGAATTGTTGAACAATTTCCAGTACAAATCGAAAATAAAGCAACTTGTGTTGTTGGATTAACAAGTTGAAGTTTAGCGGTGGAGCCAGGTTTTCGTGCTAGGTGGAGCTTAGCCCATCAGTTTTCTGAAGTTCGATCTGAAGTAGAGCTAATATATTTTTTATTACCTCCGAGATAATGTAAATGTTTGAAAGTAGTAAAGTAGCTTTAGTTAAAAATACTTCAGATAAAAAAGTAAATAAAAAAAACTCAGACGATACGGAGTTTCACTTGACAGTAGTAATCTAATCAGAGGCGGTTTCAATACTGCTGAATTGACGACTATGAATTTGATAGTTCGTTAGGTATCTTCACAATTGAGAATGTATCAGGGGTTCATTGCCGGAAGCACCGATACCGTTCGGAATTGATTTTGCCAAAGGCTTTAGAGGGAACAACTAACATAAAAGAAGAATATCAATTGTATTTTTCTCTATTTGAGTTTGAAGTAGAGGTGACAGTATGTTCAACAAAACAAGAGTTACAGTAACATCATCTAGAAATTAAGAGGGAGATGGAGATGAAGCTGAAAATGTTGCGTGATGAATAGTTGAGTCAGAGACAGATGTACTAAGAAATAGTTTAATATTTTTTTATGTATCCATGTGAATATTGGGCTTGTGAATCCAATGATAATAAGACCAAACTCGTAGGCTTTTAGTTTAATTTTCCAGGAGAAGAACTTATACTTGTCAGAGGAAGAATCATCTAACTGATGGATATTAAATCTTAATCTTTATTTCGGATGGGATCTATGTATAACTGAATGAAATAGAAAAAAAACAGTGATATCTTAAAATAAAATAGACGAAAAGAAAAAATACGTACACTATAACAAGGGAAGAGAAACGTGTGGAAAATGACTTAAAACGAAGAAAAGAAAAGAGATATATGTTTATTCAACGTGTTATTTACGTACTTTAGCAGAACAGAAGGAAGAGAGAGAACAGAAACATACCAAATATACAAGAGTCGCACTAAAAAATACTTTTAATCCTTTTTGGCTCGTGCATGCTAGTACCAGTGCTGGTATATGGCACGAGAGATCGTAAACTAAATTCTTTCTTACAGCACTAAGTAAAAAGCAACCGTTGCATTAGTGACACTGATACGCTAAGAAACTATAGTGATCGAAATTGAAAAATAGAAAATCTTGCATTAGATTATCTATGCAGACATTAAATACAGCTAGATATACTTCTTTACATAGTAGAAAAGGGAGAAAAACTTTTATCTTTTATATTATAATTAAATAGAAAGCTACCGTTGCAAGTTCTATTTCAGAAAAACTTTTCAAAAACTTCCTAGGTAGGGCTCAAATCTTTCTAGGTGGGGCTTAGCCCCGCCTAGCCCCACTGGTGGCTCCGCCACTAGGGCCAATCATCTTGAAAACTAAATATTTGAAGAAAAGATGTCACTTAATACAGGAGTTTTATGCATGACATATGATACCGCAATTTCACTTTTCTGGAACTGTATGAGTCGATATGGTTATAGCTATTACCAATGAAGAAGATAACAAAATGAAACATCTTTAGGAATAACAAAAAATAAAATTATTTTTGTCATATATGTTGCTAAAAAACTTGGTTTTTCAGAGACCTATTGATCTTTGAGGGGAGGAGAGTTCTGATTTTCATAGTATAGATATATTACATTGTAATATGACTTAATATCAAAAAATAAACAAATAAAACTTTTTGTTTCATAGGTCTTTAAAAAACCGGCTTTCCAAGGACTTCCCGACTGTGAGAGATTCTGATTTTTATAACACACCTAGAGGGGACTTTAATACACCTTTAGATTAAACAGAAAAAAAATCTAAAAAAAAGTTTTTGGCTCGGGAAAGGGCGGAGGTCCCTCAAAGAAAATGAAACTTAAGTTTATTCTTTCTTACTTCGTATTTATAAGTTTATTGAAAGCTTCTTAAATGTTAAATGGTAACAAAAAGTATGCAATCTTTTAGAGAAACTATACGTATTATGGATATCGTCTATAATTTTAAATATTCTGTCTTTTAATATGTATAATTAGTCTTGCAACCAGATCTAGTTAATGATTTACAAGCTACAATTCGTTCCAATACTACGATTTTCTTCTGTACTTCGAGCTTAGATAAGGCTAGTTGTAGTTTATGAGTTTGAATTAAGGTACCGATTATGATATATTTAGAAAATAAAGAGAAAATAAGGAAAAAACAGAAAAGATAAATAATAACTGGAATAATATATATGAATAAAATGCGAGAGTAAAATAACAGGACGAAAAAAACTAACAAGGAAAATAGTTAATACATAAAAGTCTAATTTTGACTGACGATAAGAGTGGTCTTCATGATTGTGCACCGTCCGATACAGCATGTTCTCCATCGA